AGTTGTTCTCGAGTAGTGTTCCGGCTTCTAGGACCAGGTCCATGATGCCCAAGCGCAGTTTCGTGCTCGCCTGGCTTTACTCTAGCTACCATGAACTTGCCATCCTTACTGCTCGGATGTCTCTTACTTCGCTTCGCAGCTAGTTGTTCTGACTTACTTCTTTACCGTGCCTGGCTATTGCTGATGTTGCTCTTATGGCATTCGGATGCTTCCTCGGTCGAGATGGCTTCGCTCCAAGGCCCGAGACCAACGCAGCGCCCTCTCCGGCTCCGGGGGAGGTTGCCGACACGGGCCAGGCGGGATGGTCGCTTTACACTAGAATACTAGAAGCTCGGAGTACGGGTGGCTGTCAGTGTTCGACTGATTTTATGCTGAAGTCCCTTCTGAGAAATCAACTGTTCAACCTGACTGTCCATGTCTGTATTTCTGCAAGAAGCACGGTCGTTTCTTGAGAGCTCTCCAGTCCCAAGCCGGATACAGCCAGCAAACGTCCCAATCCCTAAAGCCTATACCCTTCAAGCCCTACCCCCCTTTCGCCTGAAGCTTATTGCCTTGAGCACTTCCATCCCCAGTCCCTACTGCAGAACTCCGCTCATCGTGGTGAAGGTGATCATGACTACTAATAGTCTTATAGTTGCTAGCCTCATCGTTGTCAGCCTCGGATCCAAAAAAAACTCTTGAGCCGCAGGTCTCGCCAAAGGCCAGTCCGAAAGCGCCCTGCAGAGGCTGCCCTCAGCTTTCCGAGGGCGTCGTTTTGCCAGCAACCTGATTGGAGTTTCGGTTTTCTTTTTTTTTTTGGCCGGACTCCCGGGAACTTAGAAAAGACCAGGAAGCATGGAACGATTATAATGACAATGAGTTTTGGATCCCGGGCTCTGGCGCAGGTCCTGATCCGCCCTCGCCCTGGCAGGAAGCGAAGAAGAGGCCCGGAGGCCTAAGCGTGGTCTCAACGCCTCTGAATCTGTCTTGTCAGAAGAGAAAACAACTCCTCAGCTCCTGAAGCTACAAAGTGTGAGTTTGGGGAGAAGCTGGTTTCGGGATGGGAGGATGAATGCGAACGGAAGTTGCAGCATGAATCCCAGCTCCAGGTTTGACTTCAGCTCAGTGGGGTTTTCCCGCCGGGCGCCCAGGATCGTCGAATCTGCACGAGGTACTTCGAGCGGCTCTTGTGTTTGATTGCTTTGAGGGAGGGTTCGTTCGTTATGGCAAAATCCTCGGAGCGAGCTCCTGATTTTCATTAGCCCTGCAGAGATCGATGAATGCTGTTGAGGCTCTCGTCCCACACTTGGCACAGTGTGAGAACACGTTTTCTTACAAAATCTGTCTAAGGTCATTGGCCCGAGTACTGATTGTTTGAAGGAGTCGAAAAGCCTTCGAGTGAGCATGAGAGTTCTGAGCGTGATCGCTGTTGTGTTCCTTCTACACGAGACGAAAGGTGGGTATGCCAAACACTGGGCGCCAACTCCCCTCCGAAAAGGAGCTCGCGGGATCGGAGTGTGTCCAGAGTTTGGTTTAAACGATGGGGGTGGGGGCCTCTCGGAATGTGGAAGTTAAACCGCTGATTGGCCCAAGATTTCTGCTCCAGGGTTAATCTTGAGTATTGCATCTGGGTCCGCATGTGCTGCCTGCAACTTCTGCATACACGAGGACTGCTACCAGTGCCACTGCCCGCACTACCACTACCACCACCACCATTATTATTATTATTATCGTTACTGCTACCACCGCTACCGCCGCTACTATCGCTGCTACCGCTACTACCGCTACTACTACCACCGCTACTACCACTGCTACCACTACCACCACTGCTACCACTACCACTACACAGCCCGCTACCGCCTCGGCTACCGCTACCGCTACGACTACTGCTACCGCCGCTGCTGATTTTGCCACAATTGTCTGCTGCTGCTGCTATCTGCTGCTGCTGCTGCTGCTGCTGCTACCACCACCACCACCACCACCACGACGACGACGACGACTACTACTACTACAATAACTGCTCCTGCTGCTCCTACTCCTGCTCCTACTCCTGCTCCTCCTCCTGCTTCTGCTCCTGCTCCCACTCCTACTACCGCGCTGCTGATGCTCACACTGATGCGCATGCTGGTACTGATAAAGACGACGATGCCAACTACTAGGACGATGGCGACGACTACTACAGCTACTACGACCGCCACACGTACTACGCGACCAGACCATACCATAGCATAATACCAGTAGGGTGGTAGTGCAGCAGTTCTTCAGTCAGAAGAATAACAGCCCGAATCGTGCTTCGTAGCTGCGTAGCCACGGAAATCCACACCATCAACGAAGCAATACTGGTTATCAGTTAGAAGTCATGACAATGATGGCAGCAGTACTGACAGCAAGCAGTAAAGGTAGCAACAGCAAAGGCGTCGCTGCAATTCTGTAAGAAGCCTAAACCCTACGTCCTAAATAAGAAGCATCAGCAAGAGGAGCCTCGAAACCAGGGTTGCCCTTGCTGCCGGCACTTCCAGAGGACTCTGCGTCTCAAGTTTGAAATGGGGGCCCGGGTCATTTTTTTAATACCCCCTTATTTGCACTGTATGCTCATAGTAACATAATGAGAACTACTTCTGCTATGCGACATGTGGACTCTTGAAGCTTGCAAGTGCAGTTTCGCGGTCAAGGCAGGGGTCTTATGTTTCAGCGTGATCCGGGTGATCTCAGTCGGCATTTGGGCGTCCTCGGATATGAGGTGCTTTCAGGGATCTGGATATTCCTGTCGGTACCTGCACCGCCTGTCACTGGCCACAGGTTGCTTGTACAGGAGCTCCAAAGTTTTAATCTGCTCTTCTTGCATGAGGTGCTGGTGGTTCCACTACGAGGGTCCTCAAAATGACTTTGCATGCATCTTGATCCCAGCTGCTCTGAACCTAGCTAAGATTCTGCCTCATGCACGGTTCCACCTGAAAAATGTCGTTCTGCCTCAGCCTTCACGCAACTGTGGCGTCTATCCCGAGCCCGAACCATAAGGCAGACATCATCCGAGGCAGGCAGGCCAAAAGCAGAACCTGTAATGATCAAGACCCAAGACGACGCTGAACCATCGCTCTAACAGTCTGACAGTTTAGAGAGATCCTTGCCATTCGGCTCACATGGCTCCTGCCAAAAAGTTCTCAAGCATTCAGGAAGGCAGTCCATGTAAGCATCTGACGTTCGGGGCACCAGAACTTCAAAAGTATATCTTGAGCTCCCGTCGTCTGAGTCGTCTGTGTATTTTCGCCAGGACTTGCTGCTGCAGGCCGGAACTGCAGTCTTCCAAAAACGCCGCCAGAAACCTCTTAATGGAACCCACCGGCAAGGATGCGACCAGTAGATATCCATAGATATCCCTAAGCCTAAACCCTAAACCCTGAACCCTAGTCTCTAAACCCCTAATCCCTAAGCCCTGAGCCCTAAACCCCAAACCCTACACTCTAAGGCAGGCGAGACCCTGGAGCCGAAATTCTGCAAGTCTGTGAGAAGGTGATTTGGCCCCCCAGCTCTTGAAGTCACTAACTCTGAGCTTTCAGCGATTTCGCGGCTTTCCATGTCAAGCTTCTCAAAGATGAACGTAAGTCGGAGTTGAGCATTCCTTCTGCCTTCCCCCCTCCCATCTACCTTGATCGAAGCCTTGAGCCAGAAAACCCACAGCCCGTGTCGTAAAGAAGTGCCGAAGCTGGTGGAGCGGCCCGAAGCTCTAATATAGGGGCCTTAATAATTAGAATAGGGTTTTGGGGCCCATTATAGTATAATTATAATGAGGAACCCCCAAAGTAGTATTGGTAATTATTTAGGCCCCTACATTAACTTTCAACAGCTCCAGATCCTGGTCACGGGCCTGGAAGCCGCCTCCCTGGTATCCCTGGCACAGACATCCAGGAAGCTGAAGGCGAGCTTCGGGTTTATCAGTCTGAGGCATTCAGGGAGTTAGCATGGGCGATGTGTGGTCCTGCTTTCAGGAGTATCTACAGCAATCGACCCGGAATGTCACACCTAAGCCCTTATAAGCAACAGGCGCTTCAAAGGCCAGATCCTTTTTACTTCCAGATGATGGCGCACCAAGGCTTTCAGCCTCTCCAGGTAATACGCGAGGTAATCTCATCATAGTTGACGTGGTGCTGTTGTTTTGAGCCGCATGTGTGTACAGACTTCTTGGTTTTTTATTTATCAAGTACCAGGTTCTGTCGGGAGCTCACTGCGCTCGCATGTGTTCGCTTGATAGACCGTGAACTAACTGGGAGTGTTACATTACGGGGTTCATGGCCCTGTGTTTCATCTAAACACTCAAGGATTCGGTATTTCGGATCAGGGTTTATCTAGGGGACGTGATTCGCGCCGCACTTTGAGTTTACAAGTGGGAGGTAGTTTATATGTGGTCATTGCACTCAGGAAAGAGTGTTTCGAGATCTTCATGTTGTAGGTGGATGTCTTCTTTTTCATAGAAGTAGTGAGCTGCTGACCTGGTGCAAGTCACAGCGCCCACCTTACTGTAACTCCACTGCAACCTTTTCCTACGTATCTTCCTCGTGTTCAACGATTACAAGGAAGTCCGTCTCGTGAATGTCAGTACTAGGCTCCGGTCCGCGGTGTCGTAAACCCTGTCAAGATCCAATACGACCGAGACCCAACTTGTCGTAGTGCTGCAAGACCCAAGAAACGGCCGACGACTCGAACCCACTGCCTTTGACAAGAAAAAGTGCATTGCAGGCCTATAGTATGATCGCTGCGACAGATCGAATTGAGGCGACGCTTTTGTGGGTTTCGGATTTGCGGATCTAGACTCTAGACGGATGTCGGACCTGGATTTTCGCGGAAGGGGCCAGGTGCCTTGTCGAGAAACGCTCGAGATTGCGGCACGCCTTACCGCAATTCACCACGAGAGTGTCAGGCTTAGCTGCTGTTTCAGCGTAGTATGACGGCCGGCAACGGAGTGCATCCTAGCAGTGCCCTGTCCTTGCCTGCAGGAGCCAGCATCCACAGGCGCCTGGCCGCCCATGGCTGCGCTGAGACAGCTGCGGCTAATAGAGAAGATGGCATCTCGGCCGGCGTGTTTTGCCATTTTTCTGGTTCTTGTTCCTTCAGTGAAGCTTGTTCATATTCGGCTTGGACAGTACGAAGGTTTCGGCATCGGGTTCTGAACTTTGCATGTGCAGCCGACGCACCACGTTTGAGTTAATCGTCTTACTCATTCTCGCAATCCGAGCCCATGTCATGTCTGTGTTCGCTCACGGTTTCCGAGCTCGAAAGACAGGAGGCGCTGCTCTGCCCGACGATGGGCGCTGTGTCACAGCCCGTGGTCATCGCCCGTAGCCGAGGCTCTGGACGGCCTCATATAAACTGGGTTACGCGCCCCTGTTGTCCGTTCGAGGTTCAGGGTTGCGAGGGTGGCCTGACCCGGAGTGCAACGCTTTCAGATCCAGAAGTCTCAGGCCTTCTGCTTCAGTGCCTCAGGGGTTCACACGAGACTGGATTGTTGCTGGGGGAGAGATCCAGACTGCTTGTTCAGGATTTGGATGGGCATCGGTGCATTGTAGCGGGGGCTTGAGGGTCTGGGTTACACATGTGGCCTCGGCCTGAATAGAGCCGCCCACGCATCGCCTCTGGCAAGCGGTATCCACTGTATCCACACTCCACTCGATGGATTTCCCTCTCAGAAATGCCGCCTGCGGGGAATGAAAGTCGCAGGCATCTCCCTCCTGGACTGGTCCTCTGCAGGCGGAGGTGGAGTTCCAAAGGTGAAGGATCGAATATACTGTATATCTCTCCTCCCCTCCCTCCCTCCCTCCCT